GTGTAGTCCTCTAGTTCCCTCTAAGTTTTGGATGACAAGGTTGTCAGCTAAGTTGGTTAGGGATCTGTTTGATCTCCCATTTGCTGCAGAGTTTTTCTCCCAGTTGATGTCAGTGTAGTTAAAGTCTCCCATTACTACTGTGGTATGTTTCCTACATACATTTATTAATTGATTAGTAAAGTGTTCATCTATTTCTTTTATTTGGTTGGGGGGGGGGCTATAGTATACGCCTATAGCAATGTCATTTTTTCCCCTTTTATATTGACCCATATGGATTCTAAGAGGTTTTCATCCTTGGTTTTATGTATTTCTGTAGAGATGTAGTGATCTTTTTATATATAATGCAACTCCATCTCCTCTTTTGTTAGGTCTGTTTCTTTTAAATAGTTTGAATCCTTCCATCAGTGCATTCCAGTCATGAGTTTCATCCCACCAATTTTCAGTCATGGCAACTATAACATATCATCCTTCAAGTACTAATACTTCAACTTCACCCTATTTGTTCCCTAAAGTTTGTTAATGCAGACCATGGTCTAGGAAGCCGAAGTTCTGTTGATGACACCAGTTTTTAAGCCAGTGGTTCGTTTCTGGAATCCTTTCCTCCCTCATTGGATATTGGCCTTCTGTTGGAAGTATAGATGAAAACACCACTTATGCTTCTAATTCTTTAACTTTCTTCCCAAGATGTTCATAATCTCTTGAGTGGACTAGGAGAGCTACTAGAGGCTTTCCTCTTAGTTGTTGTTTTCTTCTAAAAGCAACATGCTTTCATGGCTCTTCTTCTTTAGGTTCAAATATAGGGTCATTCTTTTATGGAAGCTGTTTGTTCCCTATTGTGTTCGGAGTGGGTGTATTGGATTTCTTCTTTAGGTTCATTTCTTTTAGAATCTGTTTCTCTACAAAGGAAACTGGCAAGTGGTAGAGCAAGTCAAAGAGAGAAATGGGGGGGGGGAAGGAGGGGAAAAACGAACTGAGCTGTAAACGAGAGAAGGGAGAAAGAGGGAGCTGAGGGGGGAGAGGAAGAGGAGGAGATTCAAGATGTCTTGTGGCCTTGACCAGGACAGCCTCAGAGGCCTAAAGAGAACTGAAAAGAAAAAGCATTGAATATGAAAGAGGAGAAAAAAAATCATGTTAATTCTATAATTTTGCTAACCCGTAACAGCTGTGAGGTAAAAATTCAATTTTGCCCCTAGCACATCCTCCAAAGCAGGGATCAGTCTTCAGCAGAAAAAATACGAATCCCTCAGCTAAATCATTACTTTAACCATGGTTTCTAGCGCTTCTGCCCTTGGTGAAGGGATTCTGGTGGTTGGGTAGATACAACACATGAAGTGAAAATAATTTTTTAGGGGGGAGGGAGGGCAAAGTCTAACTTGGGCAGGTAGGACGATCTGGTGGTAGTTTTGGACCAAAGATGGCCTCAGCCTCCCTTTCAGGAAATGGAATTAACCCTCAATGTGACGCATCGCTCACCCTGGTGAATATATTTACACCCACCCACCCTTCACTGCCAAAGCAACAATAGGAAGCCATTCTAGGAGGAGGCCATGTTAAGTCTGGTGGCCCAAGGAACAATGTTATAGGTTATACGCTCTGCATCATTAGAGCTACCGGACACATACAAATCCTATGAGGGGTGGGGATCTTTGCCACGTGTCTGACATCATATAGCATCACACACACACCCAACTGAGCAAAACGAAAAGGTAGGGATCACCCAGAATTCGGGCAGGCAAATGGGGAGCACCAGGGACTCTGTCAGCCATCCCTCCTCTCATCTTTCTAAGAAACGGGGAGGGGAGGTTAGCTCCCCAGGGAGGATCCCAGCATTGCGTTCATTCGGGGGGGGGGNAATGTGAGAAACGGTTTGTGGAGTCTGCTCAACTCCTGAGACACCAGAGGGGGCACACAGGGGAGAAGCCCTATAAATGTGGGGAGTGTGCGAAGTGTTTTCTCACAGCAACACTGCTTCGGGTTCACGAGAGAACCCACACGGGGGAGAAGCCGTACAAATGCAGGGAGTGTGGGAAATGCTTTTCCCGAAAAGACCACCTTGGAAAGCATGAAAAGGTCCATACAGGAGTGAACCTCATAGAGTGTAGAAATGTTTTGCTCAAAAGAGAGACATCAGAAGAATCGGCGTAGAGGAGAGTAAAGGTAAAGAGATCAACTGATTGCAGAGGGATGTACCGTTTCATATTTTTCTTATGTAGACTTAAGAGAAATGTTTAAACTAGATGAAATGATATTTGGAACTGAACAAGAGACTATTAGGGAGAATTTGAAACTGAAGTACTGCTTCTGCAAATGATGGACATGTAATTACTTGGTTAGCCATGATAATCTTGGTATTCTCCAACACTAAAGTTCCAAAACTGCCGCACTGTTCCTATCCTCCTCCAACTTTCTCTTCCGTAGAATGGGTATTACATGGCTACCACCATTCCAATCTTAAGATTCTGTTACTCTCTAGGCCAGTGGTTCTCAACCTTTTTAATGCCGCGACCCCAACCGGTCGTAAGTCGAGGACTAAACCGGTCGTAAGTCGAGGACTACCCAACCGGTCGTAAGTCGAGGACTTTCCCTGCCCGGGAGCGCTGCGCATGCGTGGTTCCGCCCCCTGCGCCGGCCGAGGCGTAACTGGCAAGCGGCAGAGATGGAGCAGGCCGACCACCAGCTGGCCCAGCCCAAGGGAGGTAAGGCACCCGCCGGAAAAGGGGGGAAAAATGGCGGACAAAAAAATGGTGGACAAAAAAAATGGCGGACAGCCTTGCTTGGCGACCCCCATGAAATGGTCGATCGACCCCAAATGGGGTCCCGACCCACAGGTTGAGAACCACTGCTCTAGGCTATATCAATAAAATAAGAATTCTGGAACTCTTTTGGGTTTTGTTTCGTGACTTAGCCTCCCTTGAAGAGCTAACATCCGTCTTGACCCTGTGATATCATTTTTCTTTCCAAAAAAGGCAAGGCAAAGTCATATTAAATTTAGGTCCTACCCCTGGGATTTCTTTGCTACCGCCGAAGCATTTTCATACCGTTTATTCATGAACTTGTTTAAAAACTCAGATTTTGGCTAAAGTTCATCTTTGGGGTTTGGTACATTGTTTATCACGATACAAAAAAGATGTTCAGACTAATAA